GTTTAGCCCTGGGAGCCTGGCAGTGGAAGGAGAGGCTGTGCAAGCCGGGAGGAGCCTCAAAGCCCCAGAGACGGAGAGAGGAACAAGAATAATTGCAAGACGACAGGTGTGTGGGCATGGTTTGTGCAAGATGCGGAAGCTGTAATAAAATCGGCTTTGTCTCCAAAGCTCTAGGTGAGATTTTAAATGAAAGGGATGGGCACAGGGATGCTGGCTGTGCTTGGAGATAAGAGCTCTTGACTTAAGACCCTGCCTGTTGCTTACATGCCGAGCCACCTGAGCCAGCCTGGCTCTCTCTCAGCCTCAGCATCCTCACTGTCTGGCAGGAGTGATTCATCCCCCCTGATAATGAGGTCCAGGTCACAAGCTCCACCCAGAGACCCCTGGGTTGATGACTCCTAAGGAGCCCCAGAGGTCAGCCCTGCCCCTCTCAGAGACCCATAGGTTAAGGAGCCCTGGGGTCAGCCCTGCCCCTCCCAGCTTCATCTCTCCTGACTCTCTAAGGAGAAAGGACACTGGACAGGGAGTCAGGAAACCTGGGGCCTCAGCCAGCCTGGACAGTGATTTGCTGCATAACCTTGTGAAAGGATCTTCTGCTCTTGGGGCCTCATTTGTAAAATGGAGGACATGCTCTTGCCCAGGCTGGAGGGCAGTGGCGTGCTCTCAGCTCACCACAACCTCTGCCTCCCCAGTTCAAGCAAGTCTCCTTCCTCAGCCTCCCGAGTAGCTGGGATTATAGGTGCACGCCACCATGCCTGGCTATTTTTTGTATTTTTAGTAGAGACAAGATTTCACCATATTGGTCAGGCTGGTCCCAAACTCCTGACCTTGTGATCCACCCGCCTCAGCCTCCCAGAATGCCAGGATTATAGGCATGAGCCACCACGCCCAGCCACTAATGTTCTTTTCAATGTTCCAGCTTCTGGGGCCTGCCCAGGTTGACTCACTCAATGGGAGGAAGGTGTGGGGGATGAAGGGAGCCCCTCTGGCCAGCTGCCCCTGCTGCTGCCAATCTATGCCCCTCCACCTCACTTCCTTATCCCTGGAGCAGGGAGGGGGGCAGGGGAGGCGGACATCTGGCCCTGTCCTCATCCCTTCTCCCCAGTTGCCGATGGAAGCATTTCCATGCATCTCAGTTGGATGCAGGAGAATTGAGTCTCTGCCTCCAGATGGCAATGTCCTCTCCTGCTCTAAGCCCTAAACTTAGATGCATTAAGCATGAAAACCAGGAGCTCCAGCTACTTCCCCAAGCTGTCATCCTGCAACCTGTGCTTGGAAACATGGTGCCGAATAAGAACAATAAGAACAACGCTGCAGTTCACCAAACGGTGACCGTCGAGGCACCAGGCACTGCCGTCAGGAACTCACTCGCACTCAACCATTTAATGCTCACAAGTCTACCAGAAAGCAGTGATTATCCCCATTTTACAGAGGCAGAACCTGAGGCACAAAGAAAGTCAGAGGACTAATAATAGCCAAGCATGGACAGGATTAGACACTCCAGCTCTCGAATCCTGATCATGACCCATGAAACTGGCCTTATTAGCTCTGATTTCCTGGACTTTGTCCCATAAGGTCCCAGAGGCAAGCTCAAAGGGACGTTGGCTCTATAGGAGGGCAAGGACTGGCCCCCATGAGCCCCTTCCCTGAGGTCCCCAGAGCCTCCCAGGGATGCTTTCCCTACGGAGAGTGAACCACAGTCCCCAGTCCTGCCCAGAAGGGAGAGGCAGGGATTGGGCTCATCCCCAGGTGTTGGGGCAGAATTGCATCAGGTGGGGCTGGACCCAGAGCAATCTGAAGACCCCTTGACCCCGAAAAGAAAGTCACAGAAATTGACCACTCTTCTTGAAGGGAGCACCGGGGTTTTCTGGGTAAGAAAAGGTCCTGGAGTCAGGTCATCCTCCTGGAGGCTGGAGACAGCTCTGGCTGAGTCCAGGAAGTCATATATCAGCATCTCATCTTGCCCCTCAGAGGGTCACTCACCCCAGTACTGGCCACCCCCACATTCAGGAAGTGACCACCAGCAGGGACTGGCTTCCTTCCTTGTACCCAGCTGGTCCCCTAGGGACCTTCCCAACTTACTTCACAGATTATCATTGTCTTAAAGACCAAAAAAACCCAGAGCTGAGTTTAGAGCTGTCACAGGATCGTGGGGAAGAGGAAGGGCTGGAGGTCAGCAGGTCTGGGACTTAGTAATGGAATGAACTTGTGGCCTCCAACAGTTGACGTCCACGTCGGCCTCGGTTTTCTCGGTCATAAATGGGAACACTGACCTGATCTGACAGGCCTCAGAGAACTCAACGTGATCACGTTGTTAGAGTTTTGACACTTAAAACTGTGCCATCACCTCTTTGCTTTTGATGGAATGTCTTTTTGTGACCTGGGAGGGAGGGAGATGCAAGCCAGTGAGAAGAACAAGAAAACACTTGAAGTAAAACATTCAGCATGCCTTCGCTTTGAAAACCCGACCTTCCCTCTCAGGTTCAGGCCCAGGCCAGCCCCCTCCTGCTGCGTTCTGGCTCTGCTGCTGCTCCCCATGCACAGGGGCTCCTGCTCTGCCTCTGTGTCTGGGCTAGAGCAAAATAGACGCCTGGAGCCCAGCCAGCCCCTGGGTTGCTGCCCGGAGAATGGCCAGGTGCCCAGGCAGCAGGAAGGGGTTAGGAAAGGGGCCAGAAGCCAGGGGGGAAGGTGTGGGGTCAGGGGAGAAAGAAAGAGAGAAAGAACGGGGCGGGGGGTACAGAAAGCCAGCGACAGAGAAACACAAGAGATCAGCCCGGCCTGTCCACCCTTCCGCCCTTCCTTGTCCTCTCCCACTTCCATGGGGCCTTGGGTGACCTCAGAGCCTTGGTTTCCTTGGCTGGGGAATAGGACGATGCCCATCTCACAGGGAAGGTGGGAGGCTAGAGATGAGGGGTGTCAAGGGTCTGCTCAGTGCCCAGCCCTGAGAGGGCAGTTTAGCCTTCCTGCCTCTGTCCACCTAAAAACTGCCCTGATCCTTGTCCACCAGGAGAGCTGAGGCCTGTGGTAGGCTCCAAGCCAGCCTTCCTGGACCCCCTCCTGGCCCTATTGCCTTGTCCCTGGGGCCCTGGGCTGTGGCTTGGCCCCTGTGACCCAGCGGCTCTTCTTCTGTACCTGAGGTGACCACAGCCCTGTCCTATGCTAGCTGAGTCCCCACACAGGGGCGCTCAGTACAGGGCTCCCATGGGTCCCCATGCTCAGGGACAGGTGGGGTGGGAGGCTCCCTAGCCATGAGGCTGTACCCAGAGGGTCCCAAGGGAACACCCAGAGGAACCAGGGCCACCAGGTGCCTCTGTCACCTCCAGGAAACCAGGACTACTGTCAGGTGTTTTCTGCTTGGTAAACATTTTGATGTTTCATTCATGAAACTTGCCTTTCCTAAGGCCTCCTGCAGTACAGAGATGAGTGAAGAATTTAATGAGAGCTGGGCCTGTGATCCCTCAGCAGCTCCAAGCATGTGGCTCCCAGGAGGTTGCGTCAGCCCTCGGAGCAGGAGTCCCCATCCCCATCCCATAGGTCACGGAGCGGGAGGGACATACTGCACAGGGAGGTGAAGTTGAGTCACCTCAGTATACACAAACACACACAGTCAATGGACGGGAATAACAGTTCAGGCTTAGTCTTGCTCTGTCACCCAGGCTGGAGTGCAATGGTGCAAATCTCAGCTCACGGCAACCTCTGCCTCCCAGGTTCAAGCAATTCTCCTGTCTTAGCCCCCTGAGCAGCTAGGACTACAGGCGCACACCACCATACCTAGCCAATTTTTAGTAAAGAAAATCAGAGGACAATATGGGGTTTCACCTTATTAGCCAGGCTGGTCTTGAACTCCTGACCTCAGATGATCCACCTGCCTTGGCCTCCCAAAGTGCTAGGATTACAGGTGTGAGCCACAGCACCCGGAGTCAGTTCAGGCTTTTCAAAGCACATAGTAGGTGCACAACAAAGAGAAAGGAAGGAAGAAAGGGAGGGAGGGAGGGAGGGAGGGAGGGAGGGAGGGAGGGAGGGAGGGAGGGAGGAAGAAAGGGAAGGAGGGAGGGAGATTCCACTCACAAATGTCTTGGTTTCTAGAATGACCCTGTGGATTGAGGGGGTGGCTGCTGTTATCTCTACTTTCTAGATGTGGAAGCAAAAGCTCAGAGAGATTAAGCAACCTTCCCAAGAACACACAGCATCAACACGTACTCCTGACTCCTGGGGGCACTGAGTCTGCCTCTCCTTTGACAAACAGGGAGCTCATACTCAGGAAAGGGAAGTGAGGAGCCTAAAGGCACGAGCCAGTGTGATGCCAGGGTTGTCAGGACGTGCACCCAGGACTTCTATGACCCAGGACAGGCTCAGCTCCTGTACCCAAGCTACCTCCTTCCTTTAGGTCACCCTGTACCCCCTTCCTCCTCCTCCTCCCACCCCAAAGCCTGCAACAGCCCCCGTCCCCCCGCCCCGCACCCTGTCCACAGTCTTGGGACACCAAATGTCTGGAGCTTGCCAGGCAAATGAAGATATGCTGTCCCTTCAGCGCTTTTACAGCCCCCAGTGAGATGTTCTCCTTCTGCATCCTGTCCCCACCAAAGGCCAGGGGAACAGGGATACTCACCAGATGTTCCACATTATCCCAGAAGTGGACCACACAACCCTCTGATGCCAGGACTCCAGATTGCCAAGTGCAGTACTGAAATACCTCTCAACCTCACTGCCAGGCCTCTGCTTACCTGCCTCCTGTGATGGGGAGCTCACTCCCCGCAAGTCACTAACCATATTGAGAGAGCCCTGTTCGAAAGCCTTTCCTTAGCTTTCAGCTGAAATCTGCCCCTGTGACATTGATTCTGTCCTAAATGCAATTCCTGGGGCTAACAGGATCATGTTTTCCTTTCTCCTTTTGCCCTAAGGCAGCTCTTTAAATATTTGAAGGAAGTATGCTTGTCACTCATTCATTGTCCACCTCATTGTTTACTTGAAGGTAATATAGTTTTTTTCATTCCTCCATCCATCCATCCATCCATCCATCCATCCATTCATTCATTCATTCATGTGACTGAGTGCCAAGCCCTGGGCTGCCTTCTGGGGGTACAGCCATGAACAAACCACAATCTCCACCTGCAAAATGCCCCCGGCAGAGTGAGGGAGACCATGAATAAACACGAAATCACACAAAATGTTTTAAGTGCTAGGATAGAGGTGCAAATAGCTGGGGGAGCCCAGAGAAGGTCCTGGGAGTAGGGAGGCATGAAGGGCGAAGACAGCAAGGAATGTCTTAGGATCTGAAGTTGGAGAGAGACTCCGCCACATCCTGGGAACTGAAATCGGGAGGGAGCAGGCTGGAGCTGGGCAGGGATGGGGTGGAGGGGTGGGTGAAATCAGACTATGCAGGGCCGTGGAGGTCATGCTTCCCACATGACCCTGCAGCCCTATACCCCACCTGGATTGCTTCTGCATTCTGGACAGCCCAGGAGGCCAGATCCCCGCATAACCCTGGTGTTCAGAGGTAGAAGTGAGACCCAAGGGATCTCGGAGCCAGGAGTAAAGCAGAGAAAAGGCTGCAAGGATCTCAGGAGTCCAGGCCAGGACTGGGGGCCAGGCCAAGGCAGGAGGACAAAAGGCTCCTGTCCTATGCTTTGAGGAATAAATATATTTCAAGCCCTGTAGGAGTGCCAGGCCCTGTGCCAGTTTCCCCATGTGCAGCATAGAATCTGGTCCTCACTGCAGTCCTACAGGACATGGCTCATTAATCCACCTGAGAAGTAAGCCAAGGGAGGCACCCTCATGGTTCATCTCCCGTCACTCCCACAGCAATCCTGCAGGGAGAGGGTCATTAGTCCTACTGGGGGCTTGGAGGCTTTTCCTAGCTCATATGGGACTCCAACCTGAGCTCAGCCTATGTTCAGGATTCCACTGGAGCAGTGGCCAGGGAGGCCAGACTGTAGTGACTGGAGAGTCCCGTCCAAGGAAAGGCCCTGGCCTTGGACTCAGGCACTGGGGCTGCCCAGCCCTGCCCAGTGCTCACTTCCTAAAGACCAGGATCACTGGGGCTAATCCCTCAGGTCTGGGCCAAACAGACCCAGGTTCAAGTCCTGCCACAGGACTCACCGGCTGCTCCCCCACCAGCCTATGGGCTCCAGGGATCAGAGGGGCTGTCAGATGCAGAGTTCGAGTCTTGGTTCCAACACTGAGCAGCCGTGCCCTGGGAAAGCCACATAAGCTCTTGAGCCTCAGTGTCCACATCTGTAAAATGGGGTGATAACAGTGCCTGTCATCAGCTGCTCATGAGGGGCCAGTAACCATGGGGTGGGTGTAGCAGAGCATTCAGCACAGCAAGTGCCCCACAAGTGGCAGACCAGATACTTATCTCCACCTCCTGGTTCCCGGGAGCCCTGAGAATGTCTCCAGTGGAAGGAGCTTTTGGGTGATGACTGAATCCCCCCGTCACTGCATGATCCTCCCTGAGCCTTTGATTCCTTATCTGTAAAACAGGGCTGGTGACACACATTTCACAGGGCTGTGCTGAGGATAAACCTGAGACCCGGAGAGCCCCACCCCAGTGACTGGCAGCAGACAGGGCCCAGGGGATACAATAGGGTCCCCCACTTTCAGAGCTTGCCCCTGTCACTGCTGCAGAGGGATTTCCTGTCCCTGAGTTGCCATGGGGAATCTGGGAGGGGGCTTCTTCTCTATGCAAGATTGGAAGGCATTTGGTGTGTTGGATGGCTGGTAATCCCATGAGCAGATATGTGTCACGTGCAGGTGATAAGAAAAGCAGTTTACAAGGCTACTATCCCACTGAATCGTGCCACAGCCCCAACATGGCAGAGACATGATGCCCCCACTTTGCAGATGAGCAGGTCAGAGGTGCACAGTGACCAACCCAAGGCCCCACGGGTGGCAAACAGTGAGGCCCAATCAGAACCTGGCCTCCAGCCCCACCGACAGCAGGCTCTCTCAGCCACCCACGCTCCCTGCAGAAATAACAGTGATGAATGACCAGAGGTGGCAGTCCCAGCTGGAAGGCTGAGAGGACAGAGTCCTGTGCTTTCTCTCCAGGAGACCCAGTTCCTCAGCAGAAAGGGGGCTCCACATCTGGCTGCTGCCCCCGATTGACTTTCCAGGACAGATCTGCCCAGGACACCATCTCCCACTCTTTGATCTTTTGAGCTGAGTAAGCCCCAGGACAGGAGGTAAGATTGGCATTTACTAAAAGTCCTGCAAGATGGGGGTCAGGGAGAGGCCAGCCAGGTTGGAAGAGGGGCGGGGTAGGGAGTCAGCATGAGAGGTGGAGGATGCCTATCCAGTCCCTCCTGAACTGGCTGCCCCTTGCTCTTGGCAACTCAATATCCCTGTTCGCCTCCCCCTCACACTGTTACAGCTGTAACAGAAAAACAGATCTGCTTGCACTGTGAATATGAACAGAGGGGAAATGATTGCTGCTTGGGGGCCATAAAGGGTTCCCTCACCTAATGGGAAGGGGCTGGTAGAAACAAAGGGTACAAGCTTTGGGCTACATTTTGGAATTGAGTCACCTAACCTTTCTGGGATCAGTTTTCTCATCTGTAAAATGGGATGATAGGTCATGCCTTAGAAGGAAGTGTGATAATAACACATGTAGAATTCCCATTGCTGGGCAAGCCTACAGCAATACCCAGTAAGTCCCAGCTGATACTTTATTCATGTTATTGTTAAAATGACAATCATCTGGTCTACGCCCCCTAATTGTACAGAGAGGGAAACTGAGGCCCAGAGACAGCAGGCCTCAAAATTGTGAGCAGGGGAGCCTGAAGGAGATCCTGGGTCTCCTGAGTCTGTAATCCAACCTTGGTGGGTCTCAGCCCCACTGAGATCTTCAGGGAGTCCTCACAGGAGCCAGATAATCCCCACTTTCAAGGGGTAATTATTTTTCCATGTGACTAAACTTTCTTTTGTGTTTTCTGTTTTTCTTTTTTTTAATTTTAAGCTCTGGGGTACATATGAAGTTCTTGCAGGCTTGTTACATACGTGCACACATGCCATGGTGGTTTGCTGCATCCATCCCCCCATCACCACCATTAGGTATTTCTCCTAATGTTAACCCTCCTCAATCCCCCCACTCCTCAAGGGGTAATTTTCTGAGAGGAAACACTCATAGTCTCTGGCATCAGATCCAGAGTCTGCCAGTACCCTCAAGAGCTCCCTGTAAGGGAGAGGGGTCTGGGAGACACCCAGAGCCCAACAGGGCCTTTGCAGAGACCTAGATACCCATTTAGCACCTGTGCCTGCTGGGAATGATGCCAGACAGTAAGTCTGTCAACACTGTGCTCATATTCAGCCCTGCTGCTGACATGCTGTGGGCTCGGGCAAGTTCTTTGCTCTCTGAGCCTGAGTTTTCTCATCTGTGAAGTGGGAATACAATAGCTACTGTATGGAGGACTGTGAAGAATAAATGTAGTCATTTATATGGGGTGCCTGGCATGCAGTAGGAGTTCTAGTGTTCTTCCCCTCAGCCCTGACTAGCCTGGTAACCCGGATGACCTCTGAGGGATAATCCTCTGAGGGAACTAGCCTCAAGGCTTCCACCCTCCTCCCTGGCACAGCAGCTGGGGCTCCAGCAGGTCACATCTTCTATGTGCACTCCTTACAGATCAAAACTGGATTGCTCTGAGGGCCAGGCTGGGTGGTAGTGGGTGGGGGGTGGGTGCAATAGTCATTCAGAGGAGATGCAGGGGTGGGTAAGGGTCACCAGAGAGAAAGAGACTCCACACCTCACTGATTCAAGATGGTGGTGAGGAGGTGGATGGTGATTATTTGGTGAGGAATATTATATCAGGCACCTACTATGTGTCAGACATTTAAGCATGTTACATATGTTAAAGCATTTACTCTTCCCAACAACTCTAGAAAGTTGGTATCAATATCATCCCCATTTTGTAGGTGAGAAAACTGAGACACAGAAAGCTTCAGCAACTTGCCCAAGGTCACACAGTTAGAATTCAGATCAATAGGTCTAGAGTCTACATTTCTAGCCAAAAAGCTATAATGACAGTGAAATAATGGACACCAGTGACAACAGCAGCCAACTGTTATCAACTGTTGACAGAGTGCCCGGATGTTTAAGCACTTTATGTTATCTCAGTTAATTTTCACTGTGTTCCTATGAAGAAGGTAATATTTCCCCCATTTTGCAGATGGGAAACTGAGACTCAAAGAGGCAGAATGATATGGTTTGGCTCTGTCCCCACCCTAATTGCATCTTCAGTTGTAGTTCCCATAATCCCCATGTGTTGTGGGAGGGACCTGGTGGGAGGTAATTGACTCATGGGGGCAGTTATCCTGATGCTATTCTCATGATAGTGAGTGAGTTCTCACAAGATCTGAGGTTTTTATAAGGAGCTTTTCCCCACTTTGCTCAGCACTTCTCCTTCCTGCTGCCATGTGCAGAAGGACATGTTTGCTTCCCCTTCTGCCATGAATGTAAGTTTCCTAAGGCCTCCTCAGCCCTGTGGAACTGTGAGTCAATGAAACATCTTTCCTTTATAAATTACCCAATCTCAGGTAGTTCTTTATAGCAGCATGAGAATGGACTAATACATGGAGTAACTGGCCCAATAGCTCAGTGATGGAACTGGGATTTGAACATAGCTCTGTCCAAAACCTGTGCTTTTAATATCTTTGGAAGGCACAGGATGGAGTCAGGAGCCCTTCTCTGCTCCTCACTCACTGTGTGACCTTGGGCAAGCTGCTCACCTGTCTGATCCCTGCCAGCTCTCAGAGTATATTCCACCCCTTCCAATTGCCATGCCCTCCCCTTGGTATATGCCTTTTGGAGCCTCCTCCCTCCTTTACACCCACCTATACCCACATGCCCCTTGTAACTACCCATCCAAACCAACTCCCCAGATACTTCTACCTACCCCCAGCCCAGGAAACCACCTACCCAAAGTCACCACTTGTGGCTCCTCAAGTCTTGTGAGGTGTCCAGCCTCCCTTCTCGTAATCAGAGCAGACATTGTGATTTCATCTCCAGGTCCCTTTTTCTCTCTTGTCCTCCCCACTTTCACATCCTATATGAACAATTACCAAGCCTATTCTTCCCTCTAACAGAACAGAGATCAGAAGCATAGGCTCTGGAGAGGAGCAGACTCAGTCTCGGGAATCTCAGCTCTACCACTTGCTGTGTGATCTTGGACCAGTTTCTTTACCTCTCTGAGCCTTAATATCCCTGCAAATTGTGGATAACAATAGTACCTACCTTACAGAGTGACTGTAAGACTTAAATATTATTATGTATAAAGTGCCTGAGCAGTAGAAATTCTCGGTCAATGATAGCTGGTAGTATTATTATTCTCTGCCACTCCTCTGCATTTCAGCTGCCCCACCCTAGTTCAGGCTCCCATCTTATCTCTGTCCTTGCTTAATGAAATGACCTCCTCCTCCTCCCCTGGTCCCTGCTGAGATTCCCCCCTCATTCTTAACCATTTTGCACACTTGGAGCCACTGACTCCAACCCTTCTCAGCTCCAAGACTTTCTTCCCCAACCTCTGCCAGGGGCTCTTACTGCAAGGACTTAGCCTGGCATTCAAGGTTCTTCCCCTTTGCCCCATCAACCACAACCTGCCTGTGCAGCCACGGCTCCCAAACTTCTCTTCTGAAGGGTGGCCAAGGCAATCCAAGCTCCCCCATGGCCCCAGGATCCCTGGCAGAGGTTTACCTGTGCTTTGCTCAGACTGTTTCCTAGACTGAGAATATCCTTGCATTTATCTTCACATCTCCATATCCCAGTGAAACTTCCAGACCTAGCTGGAGTGCCTCCTCCTGCAAGAAGTCTGCTCTGATTTCCCACCTTACTCCTGGCCCTGTTGCATTCTCACTGGGTAAGATTCTGTCTATTTTCTCATCCTGACTTCCAGAACAGTTCCCTGGACCTTCCTTGTCTACAGCACTTACCACAGTGTATTCAAATGTTCAGTGTATACATATAGTATGTTCCCTGCTTTGAAAGTACGGTGAATTAAAGATGGAATTCTTTGCTATTCCTTCAGTCAGGAAGTGGGCACTAGGTCCCCTCCTGCTGAATGCGAGCTGGTCTGTGACTGCTTTGACCAACTGAGGATGGTAGAGGTGGCATTAAGCCAGGTCTGAGTCTAGACTTCAAGGGGTCTGGCAGCTTCTGCCTTGGTCTTGTTAATTTAAAAATCACACTGGACTTAAAAATCACACCGTTTATGGTGGGCATGATGGTTCATGCTTATAATCCCAATGCTTTGGGAGGCCAGGAGTTTTGAGACCATCCTGGGCAGCATAACGAGACCCCATCTCTACCAAAAAATGTAAAATTATCCAGACATGGTGGTATGTGCCTGTACTCCCAGCTATTCAGGAGGCTGAGGTGGGAGGATTCCTTGAGCTCAGGCACTCAAGGTTGCAGTGAGTAATGAACATGCCACTGCACTCCAAGCTGGGCGACAGAGCAAGACCCTGTCTCTGATTTTTTTTTTAATCTCACAATTTATAAATTTGGAAAGGAGACTTTATTTCTTATAAATGATTACAGCCTGCAAAGTGGTCACTTCAGAAGCTAAGAAGCATCGCCTCCAACCAAAGCCATTACCAGGCCTTCCAAAGGACAGCAGGATAAGACAGAAATTTAAGCTGAAGAGATTGGCCAACCGTTTGTGGGAGGAGCTGTGAATATTCATAGAGGTAGTCACAAAGACATTTAAATGTGCAGTCTCTGTAAACCGGCCATGGTAGGTAGGTAGTCTTGTTATCAGGAGAAAGTTACTGAAATCAGTCTGTTGTCCAATCAAAGCTGTAGTTACGGCTTGTGGAACTGGGAGTCAGTTAGTGGTGTCTGGTGGTTGGTGAGCCGTAACTGCTCTAACATTGCTTATCTGAAGGTCAGTGCTTGTTTGGCTGATAGAGAAAAAAGAAAACCTGTGGCAATTCGTAAGTGTAGGGGTGTGGGACTTAACCCTTGCCTGGCATGGCCTTAGGTCCTGTTTATAATTTGGTATCTTATTGCCATGAAGAATCCATTCTGTCAGTCTTATTATCACTATTTTAACATTAATGCTGGTCAGCTGTTAAGTTTTTTTTTTTTTGAAACGGAGTTTCGCTCTTGTTACCCAGGCTGGAGTGCAATGGCGCGATCTCCGCTCACCGCAACATCCGCCTCCTGGGTTCAGGCAATTCTCCTGCCTCATCCTCCCAAGTAGCTGGGATTACAGGCACGCGCCACCATGCCTAGCTAATTTTTTGTATTTTTTTTTTTTTTAGTAGAGACGGGGTTTCGCCATGTTGACCAGGATGGTCTTGATCTCTTGACCTCGTGATCCACCCGTCTCGGCCTCCCAAAGTGCTGGGATTACAGGCTTGAGCCACCACGCCCGGCCTAGCTGTTATGTTTAACTGCAAAAGGAAGCAGGTATAACTAGGCATGTCAGACTTCCTATCCTGTCAAGGCTGGGAACTCTATTTGTAAGGTTTTTCTGGGGTCCCCTGGGCCAGCAGGGGGTCCCTTTAGTTGACTGCAGGCTTGGGATTTTATTTTTAGTTTCAGTCTCTTGTGGCCCTGTGCCTCCATGTAAGGGCTCCATCTGTCACGATGCTATCATCAAGGCATGCAGAAGGTTCTGGAGGAGAAGATGCTATATGAAGAAAGAGCCAAGATGCACCAAAATGCCAAACGGTGAAGACGCCATCTTGGAAGGGACCCTCCAGTCCTAGCATTGCTCCTGGCTGACACCAAGTGGCCAACTAAGCTTTTCTCAAATTCCTGGCCCACCACATGGTGAGCAAAATAAAATGGTTGTTTTAAGCCACTAAATTTTACAGTAGCTTGTTATGCAGCAATAAATAACTAGAACAGAGTTATCTTCCCTACCCTATTTACTTGAGCCTTTGGGTTCTTGGCTCCAACATCATCTCCTCCAAAGCCCGTCTCGACCTCCAGGTGAGGTCAGACCCTGGATCCTATGTGCTCATCACACCTCATACTCTTCATCATCACATGTGGTCATCTTCACATCTTGCGGATGCTTGAATTGTCTCTGTCTCCCCCACTAGAGTGAACCCTCTGTTGCATTGCACCCTTGGCACAAATGAAGGCTCAGTAAGCAATTGCTAAGTGAGTAAGCACGTCTGTCCCAGCCCCAGGCAGTGGGCAAGGGCAGAAAGACAAACCCAGCTAGGCATCTCCAGCACAAGCTCTGATTCCCCATAATTACAGGTTGGAGTCCAGGGCCCTGGCCACTCTGCCAGCCCTGGCAGGCCTTGTCCCCAGCTCTCTACCTCTGAGGTAGAGGAGCCCCTGTGGTGGCCCTCCCTGGAGAGAGGGACTAGGAATACCTGGGCTGTGGGAGAGGGAGTCTGGGCTAAAGAGGGAGGCACCAGCATCAACTTTCTGCTGCCCCCATGACCCCAACCCACTGTCTCATGTCCCCACAGCCTGTCCTCTGCACCTGCCTCCAGGATGCCTCCTCGGCTCCTTCCTTGACCTCCAGCAATTCCTCCATTCAGCGTCCCCCTGTGGGCCTTTGTCCATGCGGGGACAGCCTGTGAGTCTGGACTCGTCCATCTCTTCATTGCACTCCCTGAGCCATGTACTGGGCTTCCAGTTCTACAGTGATGAACTTGCTTAGTCTTTACAACAGCGCTATTTTATTAATTAGGAAACTGAGGTCAGAGAGGTTCAGTGACTTGCCCAAGGTCACACAGGACATGGAAGAAGTGGGCTCCTGCTCTGATTCTCTGGCTTGGATTCCAGTGTTTTTCCTGCTGCCCCAGATGAGGTGACTCAAGGCCCCCCCACCTTGGATTTGTAACATGTTTCTTCCTTCCTGATCCCAGCTGAGAGCTGCCTGCCTGCCCAGAAGCTGATTCCTCCTTCCTTTGAACTCAAGGCCCTCCTGTCTGAGTCTCCCAGATGTCCATGTTGGTACCAACAGCAACTATGGAGTGGGAGAAGCAAGTGGGTAAGAGACGGAGAGAAATTCCATCAATGCATTGAGACACAGAGAAGAGACGTCAAGAAAGCCTTTATGCACACACAGACAACACACGCACCCTGCACACACACTCACGCAGAAGGAAAGAGAGAAACACACACAGTGCAAAGTGGGGGCATGGAGATGAGATCATTCCTAGGAAGAAGAAGGAGAGGGGAAAGGAAGAGAAAAAACAGATTCACACTAGGAAGTAAAAACACAGAACAAGAAATACCCAGCAGGAGATAAAGATAAAAAAATCAAAGTACACGAAGATACAAAGACAGTTACAGACAAATCCATGAAGAGAGTGCTGTCGTGAGAGTATATAAATGAGAAAGAGGCACAGTCTCAGAGAGAGAAGGGGACGCTCACAGGGCACACTCACAGGCAGAGGCGGAGGGAGAGACAGGAGAGAGAAACATGTCACAACAGACGCAGGCAGAGGGATGGAGGAACGAGCCAGGGAGGATGGAGAAGGCCACAGTGAGACCAAAGGGGAGAGAATAATAAGCAGAGAGAAAGATCGATGGGGAGAGGTGGCGGGGAAGCCACAGATGCCGGAGCACTGGAGCTGGAGCTTGTAACTTCCCCTCCTCCCTTCCCCAGCCGCTCCGTCCACTACCGCCTGATTCTACTCACAGCAGCCTGAAATGGAAGCCCCTAGTGGAGAATTTAATTCTCCCAAGTCCAACTGCCAAGATGCACTCTGCATTTTGCCCACCTGCGTGCCCTTAGCGACACAGAGGCGGAGGGTGGTGCATCTGCACCTAGCACAGGTTTCTTCTCCAGAAGGAGAGAGACCTGCCCAGCATTTGGTCACCAAACCCATGCCCAGAGCCACTTGGTTATATACCTGCTAATTTCTAAGCCACGGGCAGCTGGAGGTGGGCACAACCCACAGCCCCTCAACGAGCACCCACAGGATACCCATCAGGGACAGGATGAGGCCCCTGCACTGGGGACCCCCCACCCAAATGTCCCTTACTGATCCCGAACTGTGATGACTCACCTGATCTCCCAAAGCCTCCACAACCACCTCTGTGAAACGGGATCGTCATGTCTACCTCATAGGTTGCTGGGAAAACCAAAAGCGGATGCTGGTGAAGCACATTACCCAAAATTTGGCATATAGTAGTTGTTCAATAAACATTGGCTTTCTCTAATTGGGAAAGTCTGGAAAATACGGAGATAACGGCAGAAAGTGAAGACTATTTGGTCTGTCTAGTTGAGTCACAGGAGACTTTGATGGCTTTTGAACCAGGTGTTAGAATGCAGGGAATATTTAAAAGTGAGTGATGGAGATGGGAAAGGTGGGGAGCTCTCCTGGCAGACGAAATGGCAAGTGCAAAGGCAGGGAGGCAGGCGTCTCCAGAGTAGAGATGTGCCCAGTTCAGTTAGAGTAGAAGATGTGTGGATGTGTGAGGGTTGATCTAATACAATGTTCTCCTTTCATGGATGGGGAAACTGAGGCCTAGAAATGTTAAGTGACTTGTTCAAACCCACACGTCTAGCAAGTGTCTGATCCAGCTCTTGAATCCAGAACTCAGCGACTCAGGGATTCTCCCCTTTGCCAAGCTTGAGGTCAGCCCCTTGCAGGTGAAAGCAGAGATCCAGACTGAAGGCATCCTGGGTCTTCAGAAGTTTGGTGTTTGTCTAACAGCCAAAGTCCCAGAAACTGAGCTTCAAGCAGGAAAGTAGCTGGCAGTTCCTGACTTCAAGTGTCGATGGCTGCCAAGCCTAAGCTTTGACAGTAGATACTACTGGGGTGGGGCAAGGGAACCCCATCAGGCCTGGGGGTTCAAAGGTGGGGCTCCACCTCTGACTGGAAATCCAGCATTACACATGTGTGAAGTCCTGGAAAATGTCCCATGAGACTCTGGGAGTTTTCTGGCCTCTGGTAAGAGTTGGAGTTACTACTCCGTAATTTATGAATGAGAGGGTAAGATTCAGAGAGACCAAAACCCCTGAAATTTAATAAAACTTAATATTACAAATGCATTTATATAATTCCTAATTACATAACTCTAATTATAGTCCCATATACCTTCTAAGGAGGGTAGATGCTGATAAATGAGGCCCTTCATTCTACCAGCCACTAGGATGGGTTTGGATGTACACTAGCGGAGGAGCAGAGAGCTGGAGCTCCCAAAGGCCACCTATGAAGGAAACCAGGGGCAAAGAGCAGTGACAAGGGGCCATCATTATAAATTATGTCACAGAGTGTGAATCGGCAGTGACTTGAGTCAATAATTCCTAGATCTGAGCTAGGTGGGGTGGCTCATGCCTGTAATTACAGCACTTTAGGAGGCCAAGGTGGGAGCATTGTCTGAGCCCAGGAGTTTGAGACTAGTCTGGGCAACATAGTGAGACCCCGCCTCTACAAAAACGTTAAACCAAAAAAATAAGCCAGGTGTAGTGGTGTGCACCTGTGGCCCCAGTTACTCAGGAAGCTAAGGTGGGAGGATCACTTAACCCCGGAAGGTCGAGGCTGCAGTGAGCTGTGAGGGCAAGACCCCATCTAAAAAATAATAATAATAATAAAAATTCCTGGATCTGAGGTAGAAAAAGAAACCCCAAGAAGGTAGCCTAAAAAAAAAAAATTTTTTTTTGAGATGGAGTCTTGCTCTCGTCACCCAGGCTGGAGTGCAACGGCACAATCTGAGCCCACTGCTGCTTCTGCCTCCCAGGCTCAAGTGATTCTCCTGCCTCAACCTCCTTACTAGCTGGGATTAAAGGCTTTCTAAGAGAGATCAGTATTAATCAGGATAGGCTAGAGTTAAGCTACAGTAACAAACAGTCCCGAATCTCTGACTAGGAGTTTATCTCTATCTCTTTATCCCTCATAAACTGCACTGCAAATCAGGTGATTCTCCAAGGCTGCTGTCTTCCATGTGTTAACCCAGTGATCCAGGTTGCTTTGATCTTATGTCTCAACTGTGTCAACTTGCCGCCTCCATGTTCTCCAACAAAGAATAAAAGAAAGCTGGAAGGTCCTGCAGGGGCTTTTCACTGCTTTGGCTCAGAAGTTTCACACGTTAAGTCTACTAGTTAGCCAGAACTAGTCATAACATCTGCCTAACTGCAGAGGAAGCTGAAAAGTATAGACTGCCATGTACCCAGGAAGGAGAGGAGAGGAACACTGGATATGACTGGGACCTCCTCTCCTTAAAAAATAAGTTAGGGACACTAGGGTTAGAGCAGTGAGTCCCGAAGTCTGAGTTATAGACTACCTTAATCAACACCATTCTGAAAGCTTTGAGGAAAGGCACACTTCCAGGCCACCAGCTTGGAGAGTTATATTCTGTGGTCCAGGAATCTGTATTTTTGACAAATCTCACAGATGAATGTGCAGAACAAGTTTGGCAACCTGTGGAGCAGAAGGTCCTCTGGTCACGGGGCTAGGAGTTGCCTCAGAGAGCACCCTGGCTTCGAATCTTAAAAAAAAAAAAAAAACAACTTCCAGGCAGTCCAGGTGCGGTGGTTCACGCCTGTAATCCCAGCACTTTAGGAGGCCAAGGTGAGCAGATCACAAGGTCAGAAGTTCGAGACCAGCCTAACCAACATGGTGAAACCCCATCTCTACTAAAAATGCAAAAACTAGCTGGGCATGATGGCACGGGCCTGTAATCCCAGCCACTCAGGAGGCTGAGGCAGGAGAATCACTTGAACTCAGGAGGCAGAGGTGGCAGTGAGCCAAGATCACACCACTGCACTCCAGCCTGGGCAACAGAGAGAGACTCCATCTCAAAAAAATCTTCCAGGCTTCTGGTTCCAAAATGGCAGTGTCATAGCAAGCTGGCTTCACTCATCCTCCAAAGAAAACTAGAAACAATTATACAGCACTGAGATTATCACCAGCAATGTCCCAAAACTCAGTATAAAAAGAAGACAGTTCCCAGGGCCACGAGAAATGAAAAACTCTGAGCAGATGCTAAGAGAATTGGACTTCCATATCCATAACACCCCTCCCCAATCTACCCAGCACCAAGTGCCGGGAAAATTTCCCCACGACTCACATTTTCTACACCAGAAAAAGTGAGATTGAAGTAAACAACCAACTTCCCTACCATATTTGGTTTCCTGGCAGAAGATGTGTCCCTGCCTCAATCCATGAGAAGTCTCAGGAATGCCTGAGGGAGAAATGTCCCTGCAAACAGTCAGAGACAAAGCAGTGAGGCAAGACTACCATCCCCAATTCTGGAAACTCTGCTCTGTAACTCGGCCAAAGGAAATGCCAAATCAGAGTGGCTATTCAGCAGCACATGCTGTAGGAGCTTCATTCTACAGGCTCCCTGGGCATGAACCCCTAGCCAGGCTTCGTGAAGTACTGGGGTATCCCCCTTTGGGAGCTTTCTCCATTTGGTACAGGCAGCACTCTAATTGTTTAGAACCAAGGCAAACATGAGCTTAATATGCCATCTAGTGTCAAAAAGGAGGCTGCAACAAAATGGGGTAAAAAGTAAAGAAAATCAACAGGTAAAGTACGAACTCTCTGAGCAAGCGTATCTAATAACCACCAAAACAAGCCAGCCAGAGAAGAGCAAGAAATAACTAATCCTTCAATGAAAAAACATAGACATACATCCACAATAAACAAAAGCAAAACAGGAAACCATGACCTATTCAAACATACAAAGCAAGGAACCAGTGGCTGACCCTAATAAAACAGTGATATGTGAACTCTCTGACCAAGAATTCAAAATAGCAGTTTTTTTAAAACTCAGTGATCTCCAAGATAACACATAAAAGCAATTTCAAAATTTTCAGAGGAATTTAACAAAAAGATTGAAACTTCAAAAAAATTGAACAGAAACCTTGGAACTGAGAAATACATGTGCTCAAATGAAAAATTCATTAGATTCTCTCAACAGCAAAATGAATTAAGGAGAGGAGAAAAATCAGTGAGTGTGAAGACATATTGTTTGAAAATAATACACAGAGGAGAAAAAAAACAAAAAAGGATGAAAAAAATGAAGATTACCTATAAGATATGGAATTACCTCAAAAGACCAAATCTAAGAATTATTGGTGTTTCAAGAGAGGGAGTTGATCAGGAGCAAGATGTATAATGCTTATTTAAAGAAATAATAACAGAAAACTTACCAAAACTTGAGAAATATATAAATATCCAGCTCCAGGGAGACCAGAGAACACCACATAGATTCAATCCAAATATGACTACCTCAAGACATATGTTAACCAAACTCTCAAGATCAAGGACAAAGAGGATATCCTAAAAGCAGCAAGAGAAAAGAAGCAAATAACATATAAAGGAGCTCCAATTTGTCTGACAACAGACTTCTCAGCAGAAACCATACAGGCCAGGAGGGAGTGGGGTGACATTTTCAAAGTTCTAAATGAAAAAAATAAACTGCCATCCAAGAATATAATACCCAGCAAAGTTATCCTTCAAATATGAAGAAGAGATAAAGACTTTTCCAGAAAAACACAAGTTGAAGGAATTCACCAGACCCATTTTACAAGAACTGCTAAAGGGAATTCTTCAATCTGAAAGAAATAAAACTAACATTCAAATAAAAAACATTTGAAGTATAAAACCCAGTGGTAAAATTAAGTCCACAGAAACCCAAAATACTCTAATACTGTAATTGTGGTAGAAATTAGTTATAAAACCCACTTGTAACTATAGGGTGAATCCCAGAAGGTAAATCTATCAAAAACAATAATAGTTGTGGCAACCTGTTGAAATATTAACAATATAAAAATATGTAAACTGGGACAATATCAAGTCAAAATTAGGGGATGGAGTTGAAGTGTGGAGGTTTTTTCCCATTCTTTCTTTGTTTCTATTCTTTCCTTCATGATCCAAGATAAGTAGTCATCTCTTCAAAATAACTTGTCGTATCTATTAGATGTTTTTATAAGCCTCATGGTAACCACAAGGCAAAAAAAACTATAATAGTTTCGCAAGGAATAAAAAGCAGTGAATTAAAACATACTACCAAAGAAAATAATTTCATCACAAAGTAAAACAACAAGAAAGGAAAAGATTTATAAAACAACCTAAAAAACAAGCAACACAATGGCAGTAGTAAGTACTTACTTATCAATAATAACGCTGAATGTAAATAAATTCAGTTCTTTAATTAAAGGGCATACAGTGGCTAAGTGGATAAAGAAAAAAGACCCAACTTTGTGTTGTCTTAAAAAAAATCCACTTCAGACCTGGCACATTGGCTCACACCTGTAATCCCAGCATTTTGGGAGGCCAAGGCGGGTGGATCCCCTGAGGTCAGGAGTTTGAGACCAGCCCAGCCAACATGGTGAAACCCCGTCTCTACTAAAAATACAGAAAAATTAGCCAGGCATGGTGGCGCACACCTGTAATCTCAGCTACTCGGGAGGCTGATGCAAGAGAATTGCTTGAACCAGGGAGATGGAGGTTGCAGTGAGCTAAGGTCACACCACTGTACTCCAGCCCAGGTGACAGAATGGGACTCTATCTCAGAAAAAAAAATTCACTTTACCTATAAGGACACACATAGACTGCAAATGAAAGAGTGGGAAAAGATATTCCATGCCACTGGAAACCAAAAAAGAGCAGGATTAGCTATATTTAGATTGGATGAAATAGACTACAAATCAAAGACTGTAAAAAGAGGCAAAGGGCTGGGTGTGGTGGCTCACGCCTGTAATCCCAGCACTTTGGGAAGCCGAGGTGAGTGGATCATGAGGTCAGGAGTTCAACACCAGCTTGGCCAAGATGGTGAAATCCTGTCTCTACTAAAAATACAAAACTTAGCTTGGCATGGTAGCAGGCACCTGTAATCCCAGCTATTCAGGAGGCTAAGGCAGGAGAATCAGTTGAACTCAGGAGGCGGAGGTTGCAGGTTGCAGTGAGCAGAGATCATGCCAATGCACTCCAGCCTGGGTGACAGAACAAAGTAAAACAATAAGAAAGGAAAAGATTTATAAAAATATTTTATAAAAATTTATTAAAAATCTTTACTTTTTTTCCATCTCAAAAAAAAGGAAGTGAAGAAAGTTACTATAAAATGATAAAGGGGTCAATTCAGCAAGATGATATAATAATTGTAATTATCTATACACCCTATACTAAAGCTCCCAAGTATATAAACATTGATATTTCCAAAAGGAGAGACAGACTGCAATACAATAATAGTGGGAGACTTCAACACCCCATTCCCAGTAATGGACAGATCATCCAGATAGAAAATCAACAAAGAAACACTGGAGTTAAACTACACAGTAGACCAAATAGACCTAACTGACCTTTACAGAACATATCACCCAATTGCTACAGAACACATATTCTTCTCATCACCACATGGAACATTTTCCAGAACAGATTATGTCTTAGGTCACAAAACAAATCTCAACAAATTTTTAAAAATTAAAACTATATCAAGTATTATTTCTGACCCAATGGAATAAAACTAGGTATCAATGACAAGAATAATCTTGGAAAAGATGCAAACAAATGAAAATTAAACAACATGCTCTGAACAACCAATGGGTCAATGAAGAAATTAGGAAGACAATTTTTAAATTTCTTGAACAAATGAAAATGGAAATATAAGATATCACAATTATGGGATACAGCAAAAGCAGCACTAAGAGAGAAGGTGCTAGCAATAAACACATATTTTAAAAGTAGAAATAAACAACTTGTGATGGTTAATACTGAGTGTCAACTTGATTGGATCGAAGGATACAAAGTATTGATCCTGGGCGTGTCTGTAAGGGTGTTGCCAAAGGAGATTAACATTCCAGTCGGTGGGATGGGAAAGGCAGACTCACCCTTAATCTGGATAGGCACAATTTAATCAGCTCCCAGAGTGGCTAGAACCGTAAGCAGGCAGGAAAATGTGAAAACATAGACTGGCCTAGCCTCCTAGCCTACATCTTTCTCCCTTGCTGGATGCTTCCTGCCCTCGAACTTCGGACTCCACGTCCTTCAGTTTTGGAACTTGCACTGGCTCTCCTTGCTCCTCAGCCTGCAGGTGGCCTATTAAGGGACTTTGTGATCCTGTGAATTAATACTTAATTAACTCCCCTTTATATATATCTATTCTATTAGTTCTATCCCTCTAGAGAACCCTGGCTAATATACAACCTAATGATGCATCTCACGGAACTAAAAAAGCAAGAACAAGCCGAACCCTAAATTAGTAGAAGGAAAGAAATAATAAAGATAGAGCACAGGGGAACGATTCAAGATGGCTGATCACTAACATCTCGGGATTGCTGCTCCCAGTGAAAGCTCAGAGAACGAGAGGACACCACACTTTCAGACAAATTTTGGTCACTCACAGAGCAGAAGATTCCCAGTGGAGGAGCTGCACGGGTCGCCAGCACGACTCTTATGGCCAGCGCAGCAGTTTCACAGGCACCTCGGTGCGGCAGCTCTCCGCACAGAGTAAACGGGACTGGTTCCCCTTCTGACCGACGTTTGGAGCTCCAGAAAGGCAGAATCGCCTATTACGAACTCAAGAAGGAAGCCAGACTGGAGATTCCCAGGCAGAAAAGCACCATCAGTCTTAACGCCGCTGTTTTGGCCGGCGCAGTGGGTTGCTCATATTTTGGCCCTGGGAATTAACAACTTGGACGTCCACTCAGAGACCTAATTTGAAAGTTGGTAATTACAAAGATGACAGGTGGATACATTTACAATTATGGGAAGAAACCAGCATAAAAAGGCTGAGAATACTCAAAATCAGAATGCCTCTCCCTCTAAAGAGGATCACAGTTCCTCATCAACAAGGGAACAAGGCTTGATGGAGAACGAGCGCATCCCATTAACAGAATCAGGCTTCAGAAGATGGATAATAAGAAACTTCTGTGAGTTAAAAGAACATGTTGTAGCCCAATGTAAAGAAACTAAGAACTTTGAAAAAAGGTTTGACAAAATCCTAATGAGAATAGACAACTTAGAGAGGAATATAAGTGAATTAATGGAACTGAAGAATACAATACAGGAACTCCAAGAAGTATGCACAGGTTTAAACACTCGAATTGTTCAAGCAGAAGAAAGGATATCAGAGGTCAAAGTCCAACTTAATGAAATAAAACGAGAAGACAAGATTAAAGAAAAAAGGATAAAAAGGAATGAGCAAAGTCTCCAAGAAATGTGGGACTATGTAAAAAGACCAAATTTACGTTTGATAGGTGTACCTGAATGCCACAGAGAGAATGAATCCAAGCTGGAAAATATTCTTCAGGATATTATTCAGGAAAATTTTCCTAAACTAGCAAAGCAGGACAATATTCAACCCCAGGTAATACAGAGAACACCACAAAGATATTCCTCAAGAAGAGCAACCCCAAGGCACATAATCGTTAGATTCACCAGGGTTGAAACGAAGGAGAAAATACTAAGGGCAGCCAGAGAGAAAGGTCAGGTTACCCACAAAGGCAAGCCTATCAGACTTACAGCAGATCTCTCAGCAGAAACTCTACAAGCCAGAAGAGAGTGGGGGCCAATATTCAACATCCTTAAAGAACAGAACTTTCAGCCCAAAATTTCATATCCAGCCAAACTAAGCTTCACAACTGAAGGAAAAATAAAATATTTTAGAACAAGCAAGTACTCAGAGATTTTATTACCACTAGGCCTGCTTTACAAGAGCTTCTGAAAGAAGCATTACACATAGAAAGAAACAACCAGTATTAGCCTTTCTAAAAATATACCAAAAAGGAAAGAGCATCAACATAAAGAAGAATTTTCATCAACGAATGGATAAAACAGCCAGTTAACATCAAATGGCAGTAACCCTAAATTTAAATTGACTAAATCCCCCAGTCAAAAGACACAGCCAAAACCCAATGGCATGTTACATCCAGACCTGTTTCACATGCAAGGATACACAAAGACTCAAAACAAAGGGATGGAGAAGGATTTACCAACCAAATGGAGAGCAAAAATAAATAAATAAATAAAAAGCAGGAGTTGCAATTCTCGTATCTGATAAAATAGATTTTAAAGCAACAAAGTTATAGTGGTAAAAGGATCAATGCAACAACAAGAGCTAACGATCCTAACACCCAGATACATAGAGACTTAGACTTAATGAGACAGAAAATTAATAAGGCTATGAAGGACTTGAACTCAGATCCGGAACAAGTAAACTTAATAAATATTTATAGAGCTCTCCACTTCAAATACACAAAATATACATTCTTGTCAATACCACATCACACCTACTCATAGGTTTAAATGAAACATTGATTGGCCATTATTAATACCCATTTTTTTTTTAGAATAAAGCAACATTTCCGTTCTCTCTCCCTCTTTTTCTTCCTCTTTCTTCCTCTCCTTCACTCCTTTTTTTTCTTTCCTCCTCTCAAAAAAAGAAAAAAAGAAATCAACTTGTAGACCTCTAGATCCAGGTCGGCAATGTCTTTCTCATTGCTTGATTTCCTTCCTTCCCTTCTCTCCCTCCCTCCCTCCCTCCCTCCCTTCCTCCCTCCCTTCCTCCCTCCCTTCCTCCCTCCCTTCCTTCATCCCTCCCTTCCTCCTTTCCTCCCTTCCTGCCTTCCTCCCTCCCTTCCTAAAAATAAAAAAAAAGGGCAGAAATAGATAAACTGAAACATAAAAAAAAATACAGAAGATCAATGAAACAAAGTTGGGGTTTTGTTAAAAAGATTAAAAATGGACAAGCTTTAGCTAGAATAACTAATAAAAAAGATAAAAGACCCATATAAATAAAATCAGAACTGTGAAAGGAAACATAACAACTGATACCACAGAAATACAAAGAATCATTTGTAACGGTACAAAGACTGCTACAAACAAACATATGCCAAAAAACTGGAAAACTTAGAAGAAACAGATAAATTCCAGACATATACACCCTAACCAATATGGAACCACGAAGAAATAGAGAACCTGAACAAACCAATAATTAGTAACAAGATCAAAGCCATAAGTCTCCCATCCAAAAAAAAAGCCCATAACTTGATGGCTTCACTGCTTGCTGAACTTTACCAAACAGTTAAAGGAGAGCTAATACTAATTCTCATCAAACTCTTCAAAAAATTGAAGAGGAAGGAATATTTACAAACTCATTCTACATGTCCAACATTACCCTGATACCAAAACCAGACAAAGACACAACAGGAAAAAACTACAGGCCAATATCACAGATGAACAGAGATGTGAAAATCCTCAGTGAAGTACTCGCAAGCTGATCATTCACCATGTGAATATGATCATCACCATGATCAAGTGTTATTCATCCCACAGATGCAATGATGCTTCAACATACACAAATCAATAAACGTAATATGTCACATTAATAGAAACAAGAACAAAAACCACGTGATCATTCAAGAGATACTGGGAAAAAAAAAAAAAACAAAGAAATAAAGGGCATTCAAACTGGGAAGAAGTCAAATTCACCTTGTTCACAGATGGCATGCCTTATCCCTAGAAAAACCTAGTGACTCCCCCTAAAACACTGTTAGAACTGATAAATTCAGTAAAGTTGCAGGATACAAAATGAACATACAAAAATGAGTTGGATTTATATATGCCAACAGTGAACAAGCCGAAAAAGAAACAAGAAAGTAATTCAATTTACAATAGCTACAAAGAATATAAGATAATCTAGGAATCAATTTAACCAAAGAAGTGAAGGATCCATACAAGAAAAGCTGTAAGACACTGGTGAAAGAAACTGAAGAGGACACCAAAAAATGGAAAGATATTGCATGCTCATGGATTTAAAAAATTAATTTTGTTAAAACGACAATACTACCTAAAACAATTTGCAGATTCAGTGCAATCCCTATCAAAATACCAAGGATGTCCTTCACAAAAATAGAAAAAAAAATAATCCAAAATTTGCATGGAACCACAAAAGATCCTGAATAGCTGAAGCAATCTTGAGCAAAAAGACCAAAGCTGGAGACATCACACTACCTGACTTCAAAATATACTACAAAGCTATTTTAACAAAATCAGCATGCTACTGGCATAAAAACAGGCACACAGACCAACAGAACAAAATTAAGAAGCCAGATATAGAGCCACACACTTATAGCCAACTCGTTTTCAGCAAAGGTGCCAAGAACATTCAGTGGGGAAAGGAGTCTCTTCAATAAATGGTGGTGGGAAAAACGTGATAACCATATGCAGAAGGATGAAGCTATATCCCTATTTCTCACAATTTCTAAAAATCAAATCAAAATGGATTGAAGACTTAAATCTAAGACCTAAAACTGTAACACTACCAGAAAGAAAACAGCATGAAAACACTCCAGGACGTTGACACTGAGCACGTTGGTCTGAGCAAAGACTTTCTTTGTGTAAGACCTCAAAAGCACAGGCAACCAAAGCAAAAATAGACAAATGGATTGCATCAAGCTAAAAAGTTCTGCAAAGCAAAAAAAACAATTGGCAAAATGAAGAGATAACCCACCGAATGAGAGAAAATATATGCAAACTATTCATTTGACAAGGGATTGATAACAATATGTAAGGAGCTCAAACAACTCAACAGCTAAACAAATAATCTGATTTTAAAATGGGCAAAAAGTATTTTGCCCATTCTTCTTAAAAGAAGACATACAAATGGCCAGTATGTATATGAAAAAATGTTCAACATTAACTAATCTTTAGAGAATGCACTTCAAAACCACAATGAGATATCACCTTACACCTGATCAAATGACTATTATCAAAAAGACAGGCTTGAGACTATCCTGGCCAATGTGGTGAAACAACATTTCTACTAAAAACACAGAAATTAGCTGGTCATGAAGGTGGATGCCTGTAATCCCAGCTATGTAGGAGACTGAGCAAGAGAATCTCCTGAACACAGGAGGCGGAAGTTGCAGTGAGCCGAGATCACATCACTGCACTCCAGCCTGGGTAACAGAACGAGACTCTGTCTCAAAAAAAAATTTTTTTTAAAGACAGGGAATAACAGATGCTGGTGAGATGTGGAGAAAGGGGAACCCTCACACACTGTTGGTGGGAACATAAATTAATACATGCACTGTGAGAAACTGTTTTTTCCTCAAAAAACTAAAAATAGAACTACCATATGATCCAGAAATTCCACTACTGGGTATATGCAAAAGAAAAGAAATTAACATACTGAAGAGAATAAGCACTCCCATGTTTATTGCAGCACTATTCACAATAGCCAAGATATGAAATCAACCTACAAGCCCATCAATGGATGAATTAATAAATTTTAAAAAGTGGTACATACACACAGTGGAATAGTATTCAGCCATAAAAAAAGAATGAAATCCTGTCATTTGCAACATGGACAGAACTGGAGGTCATTATGCTATGTGAAATAAGCCAAGCATAGAAAGACAAATATCACATGTTCCCACTCATATGTGGGAGCTCACAAGGTGCACCTTATAAAAATATAAAATAGATTGGTTGTTACCAGAAGTTTGGAAGTGGGGGGGATGAAAAAAGGTTGATTAATGGGTACAAATATACAGTTTGATAGAAAAAGTAAGACCTGGCGTTTGATAGATCAGCAAGGTGACTATAGTTTACAAGAATCTATTGCATATTTCCAAATAGCTAAAAGAGCATAATTCAAACATTTTGAGCAGAGAAAAAGACAAAGGAAGCGGCAAATGTCTAACCCTGAATGCTCCAAACTGCATTTCCAGGAGATCTGATTACCTGGTATTTTCCAGGGCAGTGGATTCTTCGAGATGCAGGATACCCAAAGTATATCAAACAGCCCCATTATAGCCAATTCCCTCTTTGCTGCTGTTGTTTAATTTCTCCTGGAGAATAAGATTGGAAAGGCAGTGCTAATTTAATTTGCCAGAATGAATAAAGATAAGACAGTAACAGGGGATGATAAAGAATGGGAAACACATAATTCACATCCCCAAAACCTAGTCTCCTTCCATTACAACTGCTTTCCCCATGCTGGAGCTGATTAAGCCAGAATGATGGCAGTTAATTATTTTCCCCTGTTGCTGGGGAAGGCTGGCTTCCCCGACCAGGCAGTGGGCCTGAGGGGGTTTGTAAAAGGGCAAATCAGATTAAAAAGAGAACCAGGGGCTTGTGGATCCCCTTGGGGCTCAGAGGTCTCCCTTACGGCAGAGGGAGGTGGCACTTAGATAACATGTTCATTAGCTAAAGGTTCACCAATCAATCCTGGTCTCTGGAGTCCAGTACTCCTGGAAGATGCATATGGGTGTATGTAACAGTGGGTTCATCATTAAGCCCTTCACTAGGCAGTCTTGCCAGGCTGGGTCCAGAACACGGAATGGTGTTCACAGGGATGGCATCACTGGGACCTAGGGAGGCCTCCCTGTGTGCAAAAAAAAAAGGCTTTTCACCCATGCACACAGGGGTGTGCTCATCAGAGAGAAAAAGAGTAGTTTCGTGGTTCATATTGGGGTCCTCACTGGTGGAAGAGCACATGGGTATACTTGCACACTGGTTCAGCGCCATACGCAAGAGTATGATATTAGAAACACCTGTATTCAGACAGCCCTGAGGGTCCTGCCCTGCCGCTAACTAGCTGCATGACCTCGGTGAAATTGCTTCTCTAAGCCTCAGTGACTTTGTAGAGTAGGGATAGTCATAGCACCCGCTTTGCAGAGTTCTGATGAGGACTAAGAGAGAGTGCCTGAAAGAGCCCAGCTCAGCACCCAGCCCATGGGAAGGGCTCTCATCATGAGTTATGATCCACGTTACAGTATCATGATGGTCGCGTGGCTTCTCCTTTCTGGGTGCACATGGTGGATGGGTCCTCTGGGCTGGTTCATGCCCTTCATGGAGAGTTGTATTTAAGGCCACAGGGGAGACCTTCCTGTCATGTCTGAGATGCTCTTTTGTGATCCTCCTTTGTGACTCAGATAATGAGGACTTGGTGCCTGGCTGGAAGGGAGGGAAAGAAGGTGGAGAGCCAGCCGCTCCTCCAGGGCCAGGAAATGTGGACTTTATGGGAAGCTGGCAGCCTGCTTTGCTGGAACTGAAGGCAATTTGCAGTGACACAAAAGGGTGCATTAGGGAGGGAGGGCCAGGAGCCCCAGCAATGGGAGGCTGGAAGCTGGAAAAGAAGGGGTTGAAACTGGCCCAGGGAAGAGCAATTTAATTGCAACCAAAGCACGAACACAACTGCCAGGGATGGGGTTTCCATTCACATGGAATGAAGGACCCACTATGCAGGTGTCTTGTCTGGCTGATGAGGCAGGGGAAGGAAATCCCCATGGGAACCAAGCCTCTGTGGGCCGGGTTTTCATTTCCTTTTTCATGGAGTCCAAAATGAGAACAGCTGGTGTTGGGGCCTGGGATAAGTGATCCTGGGATTGGACTCAGATAGGGACTGGGACTTTTTTCTTGGCTGAGGGAAAAAGTAGAGTCATAACCAAGATGAAGGGGATTTGGAGCTGGAAAGGCATCAGCTCAGGAGTAGATGCTGGCTGCAAGCAGGAGTTTCAGGCAGCAGGTAGAATTGAGGACAGCAGGTGATTCCCAGCAAAAGGCTCAGGACTTTGAAAGGGGAGCGGGGACGTGGTTCCAGGTTTGTGAGGAGCCTAACAGCTTAAAGGAACAGGACCCTGGATGGCAATGCCCCCACCCCAACCCCAGCTCACCTTGGGTTTCTGTGACCTCTTGGCAACCCAGGAAGTCCCAGATGGAAGAAATGTAATAAAACTCCACTACTCCGGTTTGGAGAATCGTAGAGAATTGGGGATGAGAAAAGTCTTGGAAATGACCGAACCCATAACCATACGTAGGAAATTCCAAGGGCTAGAGATGGGCAGTGACCTGACCCAAGTCTCTGCAATAGTTTAGATTTCTTTCTGCAAATATTCACTGGCCTCCCTCTTGAGGCAGAGTCTATTTATCCGCCCCACTGATGTAGAAGAGCTTGGTTATGTGACTTCTTCGGGCCAAGAGAATGTGAGTGGAGGTAACAGTTGCCAATTCTGAGCCAAGTCCTGAAGAAGCATCCTGTGGTTCTGCTCACTCTCTTGGTCTGGTGCCATTTTCAATAAGAACACGACCTCGGGAACTGCTGACCCACAGAGGATGAGCGTCACATGGAGTAGAACTAAGCCTGGCCCAGCCCAGAGCCAGCCCCCGCCGCAAGATGAACCTGAAACTGAGCTGCCCTGGTCAATCCCCACACCCCTGAGCAGGAAAAATTAATGCCTACTGCAGTCAGCTACTCTCCCGGAGGCAGTGTTAAACAGCATTACGATGGCAATAGCTGACAGACAGCCACACAGCAAGTCAGGGATTGAGCTGGACACATCCCAAGCAGCCCAGGAAGAATGAAGGACTCTTTCTCTCCCACCACCTCTTCCCTGACCAGGGCATCGCACCTCTGGACAACATGGTAGCCCAGGTTCAATTCTGAAGAAGCTGTGTGTGGCCACTGCAGCTGAGCGCTCTGTCTCCGGAGGCACCAGTTAAAGCTCAATAGGACTGAGCCGGCCCCTCTCCCATCAGCCCAGCAGCAGGAACCCCTCTCAGAACAGGCAGAGATGCTGCAGTGGTGGAGGATGAGCCCAGCAGGAGGCCTGGAAGCAGAGCAAGCCCAGGAGGGGGCTGGGCAGCAGCACCAGGGTGAGGAGTGGGAGCCTGAGCGCTGGTGGGCACAGGAGGGAGGGAGGGGCAAGGTGCCCAGGAAATGCTGTGTCTCGGGGGCCAGACTCTTTAGGGAAGAGCCCCTGGGTATGGAGCGAGTAGAAGGAGTTGGACCCTGCTCCATGCACACCAATTTATGGTCCCAGGTGGCCAGTGACCTCACTGCTCTGATCCAGGGATGGGGACAAGAATGCCCCCTCCCAGGACTGCAGTGGGCAGTGAGATAACCTTAACCAGGTAACCAGCGCCTGATAGACAGGCTCCCTCCCCAACCCCTAGCCAGGACACCCCAGGGATCAGGATTGTGGGCTCCCCAGTCCCACATCTGGGAATTGTGTCCTGCTTCACTGCCTCTGCCTGTGTGACTCAAGGCAAGTCCCTCTCCTTCCCTGAGCCTCAGTTTCTTCTTCTGCAAATGGAGATTATAATAGCACTTCCCTCTGAGTTATGGTGAGGACACAGGGAGATAATCCTCATAAAGTGCCTTGCACAGGACCTGGCACAGAAAACTCACTCCATTAAAGCCAGTAGGTGTCCCAAGCTGGGGGGGTCTGAAGGGGACTTTTAGACAGTGATGTCTGGACCCACAGAAGGGGTTGTTGTTATTCCCACAACTCATCTGGCTGTCCCTTCCAGAATTCATGGGGTCCACAGCTATTTTTCTCCAACCCCTAAATACCTCTCTCTTTCCCCATCCAGCTTTGATAGGGAAGGTCTGGCTTTTTGTGAAAATGGAATTTTCCGTTCACATGAAAATGGAATTTTCTCTTCACATGAAAGTGTCATGGAAAACAATAATATCTTCTTTATGAATCTTAGATACAGTGAGTTCCTCTTCAAAGGTTCTATTTTACAATAAACAACCTTCCCGCTAGTCCCAATCTGTAACCCACATCTGTTCCTTATTTGACCACTGTAGCCCACAGCCCTGCCAGCCAATTGGGATCAGCTTAGATTGTGCAGTCCAACTCCAGCCAATGGGGACTGGACACAGTAGCAGGGACTGCCTGCATTCGGGATAAAAACCCCTTCCCTCCTTTGTTTGGTGTGTTCTCACCATGACCAGGAGTGCAAACAGTACTCTTCTGCAGAAGTAAATTTGCCTTACTAAGAAATCTTTTGTCCAAGTGCTCGTTTTCTTTACAACTCTGAGCTCTTATTTCTAACAATGAACAAACAAGCTGTCCCCACGTGTGGGAGAATTATTAACAACAACTACCTGGGAAAACATGGCTCCTCCTTTTGAGCCACATTATGTTCAAAGCAGTTTTCACTCCACCACCTGTTACCTGTTTCCTTTCTCTTCTTCTGAATGAGAGCAGCCCTCATTCATTGCTATGGACTGAATTGCATGCCTCCAAAAATTCTTATGTTGCAGCCCTAACCATTAATGCAATGGTATTTGGAGATGACGCTTTGGGAGGTAATTAGATTTAGATGAGGTCATGAGGGTGGGGCCTCATGATGGAGTTAGTGCCCTTATAAGAAGAGACTCCAGGGAGCTTGTGTATGCTCTCCTTCGGTCACACTCTCACTCTCTCTCACCCTCTTTCTCAGTCTCCGCGGTGTGAGAATATAGCAAGAAAGCAACCATCTACAAGCCAGGAAGAGAGCCCTCACTAGAAACCAACACTGCTGGTACCCCAATCTGGGATTTGCAACCTCTAGAGCTGTGAGAAAATTAGTTTCTGTTGCTTCAGCCATCCAGTCTGTGGCACTTTACTCCTTCTTATAAAATATTTGCTATGGGAGATTAATCCAGAAAATTCATGAACTCCTAGAAAGACATGGCTGTTGGAAAAAGCATTCATTGTGGTGTGGAATAGGGTTGAGTGTGAGTGGGTAAATCCAGGCAAGGGTATGGGGCTATCAAGGTAGGGGTTGAATTGTTTTCCTGTAGCTCAGTCTGTAATTACCTGCTCCTGATTCGTGCTCATGGCTTCCATGAGTGAAATGGTGGAAGTCTGGCTGGCCCGTCAAGCTCTGTAAGGCAGGCAGGTAAAATCCTACCTGTATGTTACCTGTCCAGCTCTCTGGAGCCCAGGCCCTGTCTCTGTCCAACTCTATCCTTGGGCCTCCATGCCCTAACTTGGGTCTTGTCTCTGGTCCATGGCCTTGGCATGGGATCTGTGAGTCTCACTCTCCCTAATGGCTTGGTTCAGCCTCTTGGGTCCATCCCATTGCAGAGGTGAGCAGATAGCCTAGCAAGTGGAGCAGAGCTGATTTCACATCATCCTCAGACCTGGGCAAGATGGATCCTTGCCCTGGGTCCCAGAATTTAAGGTCTCTGCTCTGTTCCTCCTCTGGCCATGCCTCTCCTCGTAGGATGAGGAATCTGTGTGGCCAAAAGGATATGACCTTTGGAAACTAACCCCCAATTTAGACAATAGTTTGGGTAACTGGGACTGTAGCATTCCCTGCCCAGGTATCTAAAAGCCGACTTCCCAAGCAGGCCTTGTCACTGGGCCCTTCCTCCTGAGGGTGGCCTGCGCTGGGGGATGGGCTGGTGCGGAAGGAGTTTGAACATGTGCGCTGGAGTCCACATGCGTGTCAGGCCCCTTGAGATGTGGGAGGGACCCGAGGTAGGAAGAGAAGGGGGCGGGCCAAGGAGGGGCCAAGGTCGGTTCTCCCTGCACCTCCACATTCCACATCTAGGGTGGGAACTCAGGGGCCTGAGAACTTTAAACTCAAAACTGGCCTCCTAGGTTGTTATAAAGTTGCATATGTTAGAGGAGGAGCGTAGGGCATCCTTTATTCACCAGTTTGCTGATTTGGTTTATCATTTTAAATATTTGGAAACGCAGGTGTCCATTTGTGCTCTTGCCCTGGGCCCCCCAAATGTCAAATATGGCCAAAACGCCCACTGTGTGCAGACATTGTGCTTGGTCCAGAGGGCCAGAGCCTCAGGCAACATCAGTCACCTCTCCGTTACATGATTAGGAGTGGGGGAGTCAAGGTGGCATTTCCTGTCTTGTCTGACTGAGAGGCAGAGAGCGAGGTAGAGTCCTCACTAGCACAGCACTCCCTCCTCCTGCAGCACCCACCAAGGTTCCTGTCCTGCCCATGGGGGAGCATTTGATGGCACTGCATGAGAGGGGCACGCTCTGCCTGAGTGTGAGTTCACTGATGTGCTCCAGAGAGAGCAGGGCCCTTTAAGGAGGTAAGGTTGGAGAAGGTGGCAATCATCCTTCCTACTTCCAGGTGAGGGCACCTCCAGCCTCTCTCAGACCAGGGCCCTTCAGGGTCAGCAGAACGTCAGGAGCATGGGCCAAGAACAGACTGAGAGGCTCTGTGGGGGAGCTTGGTCAGCCGAGTCAGCCAGGTCTTTGTCACTCATGCCCCCATCCTCAGGGCACAGAGAGAGCCCTTGAGGCACGTGGTTGGTGAAGGGATAACAGCTTCGGGGCCAGGGTAGGAAGCTCCCCCAGGAGCCTTCATCCTGACTCCTCCCCCTCCCTCAGCCTTTGCCTTCAGCATCTGGGGCCTTCTCTCAGTCTCCCAGAATGCACCAGGCTCCCGCCCACTGCAGGGCCTTTACACGTGCCCTTCTCTGCCTAGATTACTCTCCTGGTCCCCGTAGCTCTTCCTTATCTCCCTGGAGCAAGTCAAGTCTCTGTATTACTGGTCCTCTTTCAAAGCATCAGAGCCACCTCTTGCCTGGCACTTGCTCCAATTGTGATGAATGAATGATGTAGGCAATCATTTCTTCAGTTCATCCCTCCTCCATGGGCTGCAAATTCACCAGCAAGTCTATGCCACCGATTTGGCTGCAGCCCTCCAAGGTCCCAGGGAAGATTCAAGAAACATGGTGCCCAGTAGCAGAGGGGCCGGGAGGAGGGCTATAGGAATAAGAGTCTCAGAGATGCTGACGGCCCCCCTCCCAGTCCCTGGCTCCTCTGATAAGAAGCAACCCTGGCACACCTGAGACTCTCCTCCAGTGGCCCAAGGCCTGCACACTTGGTAGTATCTAGGGAGCATTCGTGGAGTGATGGCTTTTTACTCATCCCATCCCCTTGAGCTCTGACATCTTAAAATTCATAGAATCACAGCATCTCAGGGCTGCAGGGACTTTCCTAGGCGCTTACTGATAACCTGCCATGGCAGGAACTGATTTATTATCCTGCACGTATTTCAACCATTTACGCATACACACATACACAAGAATGCTATCTTTCCCCACTCAGCTCCTCCCCTTCCCCAGCCTTCTAAATGAGAATATTGTCTTTGCAAGATGGTTTCTGATGTGTGTGTGCATGTGTGCACATGATGCCACATCAGGAGAATGGGCAATGGAGAGGGGAAGAAAGGAGGAACCAGAAAGACTAAGCTATCTTTCCATATAATGAAGATGGGAGGAGGTGACGGACACAGGAGACAGACAGAACAGCTCCGCAAGCTTGTCTGGGGAGCTGTGGGAGCTTCAGCTTGCGAAAGGGTCTGCAGTTCCTTGATGGTGAGGAATGAGCCCATCAGCAAGTGTTCTGGGGACACAAATTGTATCCGCTTTGTTTTTCTTCAAGAAATTGCAGTAAAACAGGAATTGCTCTTGAAATGATTGTTGGTTAGTAGACAACTTCTTTGGATGCAGCATTGAGTTGAGAATCCCAGTTAGATTGGGCCCACCCCATCATGAAGGAAGCAGACATTTGAGCTTTGCAGGGCAGGGGTGGGGCTGTGGGTGTCACCCCGGTGCCCAGCACCTCTGCAGGTGAGATGCTTCATAGGCATCACTGAGCAGATTAAGAAAGAGGAACAAAGGGTCTTCACTTTTAGGAGTTTATTTCCTAGTCAGAGAGTTTGCAAGCCAACAATAAACAAAAGACCGTCCCCTAGGGAATAACCAGCTTCACACTGATTGAGCACCTTACTGAGGGTCAGACGACCATCAAGTCAGTGGGGGTCACCTCCATCACAGATGAGGAGACAGGCTCAGAGAGGTGAGGAGACTGGCCCCAGGCCACACAGCCAGGCAGTGTGGGGCCGGGCGCAAACCCATCTGCCTGGCTGCACCTCCACACTCTTTCCACTTCCTCCTGGAGCAGAGGAGGGCAGCTCCAGGACGTGGGCAGGGTTCAGGGGAAGGTCTCTTGTGATCAGGCCTTTCCATGTACGTGGTGTTTCAACAGGCAGCCATGTGGGGACATGGGTGGTAGGTCGTCAGGAGGGAAGAGCGTTCCAGATGGGGGAGGCAGCAGGAAGAACAGCCAGGAAGTGGGGCCCAGGGCACCTCTGGGGAACAGAGAGGAGTGGCCTTTGGTAGGATCAGCAAGGAGAGATGTGGCTGGAAGTGCAGGGAGTGACTGCATCAGAAAGCAGGAAGCAGGCCCAGCGTGGTGGCTCATGCCTGTAATCTCAGCACTTTGGGAGGCTGAGGCAGATGAATCACTTGAGGTCAGAAGTTCAAGACCAGTCTAACCAACATAATGAAACCCCATCTCTACTAAAAATACAAAAATTAGCCAGGCGTGGTGGCACACTCCTGTAATCCCAGTTACTGGGGAGGCTGAGGCAGGAGAATTGCTTGAACCTGGAAGGGGGAGGTTGCAGTGAGCTGAGATCATGCCACTGCTCACCAGCTTGGGCGACAGAGGGGAAACTCCATCTAAAAAATAAAGAGAGAGAAGAAAAAGAAAGAAAGACAGAGAGAAAGAAGAGAAAGAAAGAAAGAGGCGGGGCGCGGTGGCTCAAGCCTATAATCCCAGCACTTTGGGAGGCCGAGGCAGGTGGATCACGAGGTCAACAGATCAAGACCATCCTGGTCAACATGGTGAAACCCCGTCTCTACTAAAAATACAAAAAATTAGCTGGGCATGGTGGCGCATGCTTGTAATCCCAGCTACTCACAAGGCTGAGGCAGGAGAATTGCCTGAACCCAGGAGGCAGAGGTTGAGGTGAGCCGAGATCGCACCATTGCACTCCAGCCTGGGTAACAAGAGTGAAACTCTGTCTCAAAAAAAAAAAAAAATGAAAAGAGAAAGAAAGGAAAAAAGAAAGAAAGAAAGAAGGAAGGAAAGAAAGAAAAATAAAAGAAAGAAGAGAAGAGACAAAAAATAAAAAAGAAAGAAACAAGAAGGGAGAGAGGGGGGAGAGAAGGAGGGGAGGAAGGAAGGAGGGAAGGAAAGAAGGAAGGACGGAAGGAAGGAAGGAAGGAAGGAAGGATGGAAGGAAGGAGGGGGAGGGAAGGGAAGGGAAGGCAGGGAAGGGAGGGAAGAAAGGGGTGGAGGGAGGGAGGGAGGGAGGGAGGGAGGGAGATTCCACTCACAGATATGTCTTGGTTTCCAGAATTACCCTGTGGATTGAGGGGGTGGCTGCTGTTATCTCACCATCCCCACTTTACAGATGCAGAAGCTGAGGCACAGCAAGGTGAGGTAAGTGGTTTACACCTGTAATCCTAACACTTTGGGAGCCCAAGGTGGGAGGATCGCTTGAACCAAGGAGTTCAAAACCAACCTGGGCAACATAGCAAGACCTTGTCTCTAAAAAAAATAAATAAATAAATAAAATTTAATTTAATATCCTGAGACAGGCGCAGTGGCTCAGGCCTGTAATCCCAGCACTTTGGGAGGCCGAGGGGGGCAGATCATCTGATGTCGGGAGTTCGAGACCAGCCTGACCAACATGGAAAAACCCTGTCTCTACTAAAAATACAAAAATTTAGCTGGGTGAGGTGGTGCATACCTGTAATCCCAGCTACTCGGGAAGCTGAGGCAGGAGAATCACTTGAACCTGGGAGTTGGAGGTTGCAGTGAGCCAAGATCATGCCACTGCACTCTATCCTGGGCAACAAGAGTGAAACTCTGTCTCAAAAAAATAAATTCAACATCCTGGTACTGGGACAGCAGGTCATGGAGCAGAATAGGGCAGTCAAGCATGAGGGAATCAGTTATTTTATCCAGGAGGAGGCTGAGGCTCAGGGAAGGCCATGGGCCTGCCCCAGTCACACAGGAGTCAATGATGGCAACTCCGGGCTGGGAGCCCACTGCCCTGACCCCTGGCCGGCCTCTTTGGCCTCGGGTCTTTCTCTACATCCTGAGCTGCCCCAGCTTCTATCGAGCTGATCCTGCTTCACTCTTCTCCAGCAATTCCTCGTTCACCTTCCACCCCGGTGGCTGAGAGCATTTCTCAATGTCCAGCAAAAGGAGTAATAATTATTGGATGTGACTTAAGTAATAAAGCAATCACTGCTGAACCATCCAGGTGCTGGAGAGCTGGGAGCAGCAGGCAGGACTGCAGACACGTGCATCCACCTCGCTGCCTTGCTCAGGATAAGAGCTCAGAGGGGCTGACTTGGGGCTCTGGGCCTGCCCTGAATCTTCTCTTCCCCAGCTGAGTGAGCCTGGGTCCATCTTCACCTCTGAGAGCTTCCACTGCGAAAAGTGGAGCCCCACTGCGCACCCCACAGGGGTGGTAGTGAGGCCTGAAGACGCTGTGCACACAGTGGAGTGAGGAATAAATAAACAGCAGTTTCCTCCCACCACACACAGAGAGAGAGAAACCAGCCTCAGCACAGACTTTCCCCATGGGGGTGGTAGGGCTGGAATAGGGAACCAAAGGCGATCTTCCTTCTGAAATCAACCACAATCCTAATACTCACAGCTACTGTTTGTCAAGTACCTACTTGGGAGCAGCCACCATGGTCAGTATTTTACATGTATCATCTTTTTTTTAAATTGTTTGTATGTTTAATTTTTGTGGGCACACAGTGAGTATACATTTGATATGTTTATGGGGTGCATGAGCTATTTCAGTAAGGTGTGAAATATGTAATAATTACATCACGGGAAACTGGTTATCCATTCCCCCAGGCATTTATCCTTAGAGTCACAAACAATCCATTTACACTCTTTTAATTATTTTTAAATGTACAACTAAATTATTACTCACGATAGTCCCCCTGTTGTGCTATCAAATACTAAGTCTTATTCCTTCTTTTTTTTTTCTGTACCCATGAACTATCCCCACCTCTCCCCCCGCAGCCCCATTACCCTTCCCAGCCTTGGTAACCACCCATCTATTCTCTAGCTCCATGAGTTCAGTTGTTTGGATTTTTAAGTACCACAACTAAGTGAGGACATAAATGCACCATCTTATTCCCATCTCTCAAGAAGACGGTGAGGTGAGCACTATAAATAGCCTCATGTTACAGAATTGCAAGAGGGTCAGCTAGTGGCAGAGAGAAGACTCCAGACCGACATCAGGTTTGATTTCCACCTCTCACACTTGGCCATTGTGAGAACTTAGCAAGTTGTTTAGCCTTTTCAAGCCTCAGTTTCCTCATCTATAAAATGAGGAGTGACAACTTTGCTGGGCTTTTTTCTACAGGCAAACGGGTCAGTGTCTGGCATGTAATAATTATTCACAAATGGTGGTCATGGCTATTCATATTGTCATTTTTGTTCAAACATTGCTTCTACATCATTCCTTTCCCCTGTGCCATCCCAGCTGCCCATGCTGGGGAGAACTGCAGAGATGAAACCAACCAAAAACAGAACACAGAGATGTCTCATAAACTTTAAGTGACTACAGGGAATTAAGACCTCTCTTCTAGGAAATAACACACGAACATGCACACGCACACACATACACACACTTTTCTTCCAGCAAGGAGAAGGGAGGGAGAGACTCCTTCCCCATGGCAGCTCCTGGACATTCTATAGTTCCTGACGACTCCAGGCCCAAGATCCTGGTATGTCTGGACAAGGGACCCTACTTGCTGGCACGCTGGCACTAGGAGGAGGGTGAATGAAACCAGTGGGTAGGGAGGTTTCATTCTGCCTGAGGGGCCTACGGCCACCTCCTCTTGAGCTCTGAGCCTTCACTCCTGCTTTAAGATAATCTGTTCTCTAATGAACAGATTTCCACCATAAGAGCAGGAAAAAAAAAAAGACAATCTCTTCTCCATCTCACAGATGCAGAATCGTCCCAGTACCCAACACAGAGCCTGGCAGAGACTGGACGTTCAGAAAATATGTACTGAATGAATTAACAAATTCTAAGATTCTATAATTCTAGGTGTCTACAATTCTATGGCTCTGTGATTTGAGAATCTTAAACTACTAGCATGGCTGTGGCCCATTCTGAGCCCAGTAGGTACATCTTCTGACTTTTCAGGACATGGCAGATATGTGGATTTTTTTCCTTTTCTCTCTCTGTTTTTTTTTGTTTTTTTTGTTTTTTTTTTGTAGAATCATCTCATTTTGCTCACTTTTAAAGAGTAGCATGTTTTTAAAAATTTAATAATGAGGGAAATTGAGTGCTGGGTTTTTGGAAATTCTCTGGACTATCTTTAACTTTTCTGCAACTCTAAACCTACTCTGAAATTTAAAATTTTACTAAACAACAACAACGAAACACCATGAGGGCCAGCCAAAGGAACTGGATCCGGGAGCCAATCAGCCCCATGGACAGCTGTTGCAAACTCTATTCTCAGCCTCAGTAAAACTGAGCACTAAGTCCATAGCCAGCGTCCACGACCTTGAGTAGCTCAGACACGCCCACGTCCCATTCAGGCTGGGGGAGGCGGGGCCGCTCCCAGAGACTGGGGCTAGGGGGACACACAGGGCAGAAGCAGGGGAGAGCAGGTTTGGCTGGGCTAGGGGTGGAGGGAGTTCCAGGCCGACACATTGAAAGGCCCGTTAGATGTCCAAGTGGAGAAGCGTGGCAGGAGCTGCCAGAGTCAATGCCCAGGTGAGCAGTGTCAATTTGGGGGCGGTGAGTGTGTAGATGGCATTGCTAGGAACTGGGTGGTCTCATCTGGGGGAGAATGTCCATGGAGAGGAGGAGAAGCTGGAGGACTGAGCCTTGAGCTCTCCCATCTTGAGAGAGCTGGAAGAAGAGAAGGACCCAGCTAAGAGAGTAAGAAGGGCCAGCCCGAGAGGTCAGAGGAAGGCACAGAGAGTGCACGCCCTGGACGGTGTGGTGAGGTGGGGTACATAGTAGACTTTGACACCTGATGGCCCTCTTTTTCTATCAGATTCAGTACAAAATATGAGACTTTATCATTAGGAGTTTCTGACTCCGGCAGTTTAGGGGAAATCCTTCAGACCTCCGGCTTTAGTCTGACAGAGTCTGACTCCTGATTCTGCCCCTTTCTAGCTGTGTGCCCCTCTTTAGGCCTCAGTTTTCTGCTCTGTAAGTTAGAGATAATAATTCCTACCTTCACCTCACCTCACAGACCCCAGAAGATACCTGGTCCATCCTAAAACTGGACACACAGGGGCTCCCATTGGCTTGCACCCCAGATTGGCATAGCCGGGCCCGCCTCTAGCCCCAGCCACTTCCCCGCCCACCTTCGCTCTGTGCACCTGCCCAGGATTCCTAGCATCTCTGCTCTGCTGCTTCGCTTCTCCTTTCCAGGCCTTGCTTCCCTTCTGGAGTTTGGTTCTGACCTTTAATTGAGGCTGGTTTCGGGCAGAACTTTTATTGCAAGGGGCAGAACACAAATAGCTAAGGAACACTAAAATGTACCTGGAAAATTCACAGCATGGAACCATGGCTTCTGGGATGGGTGGAGGTAGAGGCTGGAACCTTGTCCTCGGGCTCTGTCTCCCTCCTCCATTCTCTTAGTTCTGCTTCCCTCTGTGTTGACACTTTTCTGAGGCAGGCTTTCTCCTCACTGCAAGGAATGTGACCACCAACAACTCCAGGCTCAGATAGACTTTACGGGGTGTGATTCTAGAGAAAGTAGCGTCCACATGTAAGACCAGAGGACCCTGTTAATAGAAGGGACGGTTCCTGGACAAACGCCTGAGGTCCTCTAGATGACCTGATGTGCTTTTTGCCTTTGCACCTGATGATCCTAGGAGAACAATGGGCTCCTTGAGGTGACTGCGCAGGAGAAGGTGGGGGGGCCAAGGTCAAAGCTGAGAATGAGTTTCATGGGGTCAGCAGAGGTAGGGTGGGGCTGGATTCAAGGACTCAGAAAACTGAATTAGTGGAAAATTCAGGAAAGCAGGAATCTGCTCACGGGGCTCTCTGTCTCTCTGTAGAAGTAGGAAGA